TTAAACATACAAAGACATGAATGAGTGGTACACAACAAGTAACACAGATCAGACAAGTACATCATGAACACACACACTTAAAGTCATTAATTACAGATGCACAAACAAGCAGGAATCTTTTTTTTTTTTCCATGAACACAATAATTTTGCTTTATATTAACTTCACTGACATAGATCGAATCAACGGAAACACATCACGCAGTTTAAGTTAAACTCTAAATTTGCACAGCCCAGTGTTGTACAGTGTGTTATCTGCACAGCAGAAGGCCTGCCTCTGTATGTTTAAAACTTTGTTTTAAAATGTTGACTTTGTTTTACAAAGGTGCTCGTTTGGTGTCCTCTGAGGTGGCAAAAGAAATCTTACAGAAAACCTTCCATATTGTAAATCCCCTACTGCATTATATCATATATAACTAGTTAGCACTATGTAGCGTAACACATAATTTCGGGACACAGCATTTGGGAATGACTGCTGTGAGTAACTGTGGTTGTCTATAATAAAGAAGCATGATTCAGTGGTTGAGTTTGGGAACGTTTCTGTATGAAATGACTTGGAAGTGTCAGCATAGCGACCACAATAACAAATGTATGAATTTTCCCAATCCTTTGTTTCCCTTATCACCCCCTTTAGCAGAGGACACACTGAACCATCATTTATAAAAGAAAAGGAGATAATGCCTCCCATGATAACAAATGTTAAACACATTTGATTCTATGATGCAGTTTTTATGTCTTGGTGAGTGCTAATTGCTGTTTTAAATGCTTAACATAATGACCCGGGTATGCACCGACAGGCATCACAAAAATGGCTGCTGAGAGGCTAGACTTGCTTTCATATGAACTAAAATATTATTCTATTTCATCATGATTCACACAGTTTCTCTAGATCTAAAAAAATCAAGCATGTAACACCTTTTTAACAAAATAAAATCAAAAGTATTTAGAAAATTTTAAAAAGTAAATGAACTGAGAGTCAGAAGGATACTTGCCACAAAGAAGAAACCAATACTCATCATCTTAGCCGTCCTCTGCACGTTGTGGTTAGCCAATCCTCTCCTCTCGATCAGCTGCTGGGAGATGACATCACCGACACCCACTAAAGACCCTGGAGGTCAAACAGAGTTGATACTGCATCTCAGTCCCCTGAGCACAATCTTCTACAGATATGATCCGTGCAGACATGTTACTGTTCCTGCAGTGAGAGTCTGATTAGGCAGCACTCTTGTAATTACTGCATAATAACCGCAAATATGCCAAAAAATGTATTCAAAGAATCAACTTTACTGTTAATATTGAAAATAATGTGTTAAAATACTTTATAAGCCTCCCAAAATTAACAAAAGCTCCCAACCAAATGTGAACTACTAAAAAATCTGCATTGTCTTAAAGAGAGATCAGCTGAAGTCAAACTCGACCTGGAAAAAAGGAAAAGTTTCTTGAGATCAAATTTTAACACAACTTGTGATAAAATGCTGCCACCCAGTGGTGAAGGTTTAAGTGACATTTTGCAGGGGGCGTTTACAAAAAGTATCTTTAAAATGCAACAAAACAGTCCAAAAGTACAAACTCCCACCCGAGTTCAACTTGGCGATGGTCACGCAATATGTCCCTCAAACAGACTCAGTTGTTTTTCTTCTCCGTAATTTATCTTACCAATATAAATTATTTATACGAACAAATGAGATTTCATAAGGATTTCATCACCGAGCTCGTCTTCATTTGTTTCACACTGTTTATTAGCAGGCATTAAAGGGTTGTCACCAACAAGCCACCATTAACTCATCATCATTGTGTTTTTACTTTGAACTTGGCGTCGTCCATGAATTTCCTGAGTCACTGCTAATTTTCTTTATTTATAAACCAATTTTAGACAAACAATCCTGCTTAACACTGCAGAGATTTCACAGAGGTCCTCTTCAAGTCTTCTGTTTGTTTCTAACAAAAATCCTTTAAAAAAAATAATAAATTGGTCCAGCGACTCATTTAAAGGCCTTAATATCTCCAGCTTGAGTCAGGACCGCAGTAAGCTCTGTGGTAAATGATTCCGCTTATTAGCTTTTCACTTTATTATAGTGGGCAGCTAAAACTTCTTGGGTTTGGTACAGACGTGTCACCTCTCATCCATGAAGCTTCTTCAGTTCTAAAGAAAAATGGTGGAGAATCCTAAACATTTAAGTCCTAGTGAAAGTTGTGTCCCTTGGAGGCAGCCCCGACGGTCGTTGGCCAACTACTGATTTATGCTTCAGCAAGAAATCTACACCACAGTTATGTAATCACAGTAAACCCCTCTGAACCCCTGTGCTGTAACCTGACGTGCACCTACCTGCAGATGTAACTACATGTTAGGTCGATGCTGGCTGTTCAGCTCCATTGATTAGGAATAATAATCATAGTATCAGTATAAATACTCACGATTGTCAGCTGATTAGACGTCAGCTAGACATAATGGAATAATAATAAGATAAACTAAATTCATGTGTCATAACATGTAGTTATTACAAAAACAATTTAAAAACAGACCAACTGCTCAGAAATTCATGATGTGTCAACACTAACCTCAAATCTTTTAATAAATTTGGGTTGTTTTTTTTGTTTCTTTTTTTGTAGGAAACTGAATACAAACTGAAATTAAAAACTTTGAAAATGCATGAAGACTGTCAATAGGGAAACTGATTTTTCTTTTTTTTAATTCCTCAGAGAGGCTCCTTTTAGCTGCAAGGTCAAACCTCTGCCTCTATCTAGTGGCGACTAAATAGTACTGCAAACAGTACTTTAAACTACAGCGTTCTGAAAAAAGTAAAGGGTTAATGCAACACTAACTGCTTAGGTTAGATCATTTACATCTGAAACTTGCTCCAATGTGTGAATCCACCAGAGCTCTAAAAGCCATTTTCAACGCTATGAAATCCAAAAGTGCTACACAACAGTTACAGAAATATTTTTGGTCTAATACCTGCATCATATTAAACTCATCAGCATGCTTTAGCTCTCTGTATCACGTTTTAGACATTTTGGGCAAACAGAGTTCGTCTGGATGTTCTGATCACTTATCCTGTAAAAATATATGCAAACTTGATGTTCTCATGAGTATGTACGACTCTACAACCTTCTTGAGTAGATGTTATCATACACATTATTGATTCTTTTTTCATTTGCTTTTATTCCTGATCACAGTACAATGACCTTTAGCCTGTGTCTATTTGTACACTAAACTGGAGCAAAGGTTTGTAAAGTCAACCAGAAGCTGAAACGGGACCCTTCATTTTATTTTAATCAACAAAGGTCAGTGTATGGTGTACCCAACTGCACCTTCTCATGTGACATCTGTCTGCAGCTTTTCTACATTTACGTTTGCGCTTTCAGCGTGTAACTTATTTTTATGTGCAGTGACAAGGTTGTCCTACCCGCTGTCACTATCTGGACTGTCCAGGGGTATTTAGTCATCAAGGCCTGGTAGCCTCTCCAAAGGCCTGCCATTCCTCGTCCTAGGAAGAAAGAAAAATAAAAGCTTGTTGCAAATGCAGACTTTTCTGCTTAATCACCCCGCCCGCTGGTTGTAACGTGATTCAAATCAAGTGATACCACTAACAAGTTCCGTTAAACTGTCCATTAGTGATTGGCAATTAGTGTAAACTTCGGGCTTTTTTAAAAAAAGATTATTTCAGGGTTTTAAAACACTTAAATGTATCCAAGACCTATATCGAAGAGGTTAGCTCACTCTTTCAAATTCAGTCAAACGGCTAGCTAATCCTCTCCATTCAGTTACATCACACTTATGGTCAACTGCTGACTCAAAGTTAACATGTTATTAAAGTATTCGTGTTTCGGTAAATTTTGTCAATGCCGAATTCTAACACTGGGTCTAACATTTTCTCTCAAGCTACCGAAGTTGTTAATAGATGCCTAGTTTTACGACAGCTTAGATTACCTGTAAAGTCTATTTTTTTATGACGTTTGGCTTGAGGCTCGGTCTCGTGCTGGCTGGCGAAGCTAACGTTGCACGGAACCTACGACTTGCACAGTGCGTCATTAGCGTCTCTAAATCACAGCACTAACTTTTAATCACTCGTTTAGCTTACGAAACCAAACTAAACTGCACTCCTAACACACTGTAGCAACTCACAGTTTAAATCAAGAATAACGAACTGCTGAGTCTTTCATCGTTTCTGTAACTTCCCGTTTAACATTATTGCAGCTGCTGTTTAACTCACCTTTACAGCTCACCGTAGTTAACTTAAAGGTCCGTAAACTAGCAAGCTGCGGATAATGTAAATAAAACTGTACACATGCCCGGCTTCCCTGAGGAAACAGGCGGAGATGCTTTCACGGCACAGAATCAGCTCCGACTTTGCAGTACTCCAACTGTACAGCACAGAAAAATATGAATACAAATTTATGTGGTATACTGTTGTTTCTATTTTAAATACACTTATTTCGTTAGGCTTAGCTCACATCAGTTACATTTTTACAGTTTAAACAAGTTGTCAATCAAGTTGGGTCTTATTAGTCTCAAGTTTTGTATTTATTATATTGGTAATTCTTCCAGTGCAACAATTTTAAAAAACCTGGTACACAATTAAAGGTCTTCTAAAAATTCCAATACAATAAAAAGGGGATCCAGGTAACACAGACATGTAGGCTTCCCAGTCTCAAAGATATTTCCTGAATTATTTTAGTATTTTAAGTACACGATGTTTTTATTAGTTTATATTAACTCTATATTATTGTCATTTCAGTTTATTTAAGTGATTTTTACAGATTACTTTAGAGTTTACTTAACTTTGACTAACACAGTATTCATTACATCTGCGTAAATTGATTAGTAATCAACAATTTATTTAGCTTTGTTGCAAACGATAAGGGCAGAAGAAACCGTGATCTACTACGACCAGTGAAGACAGCATAGGAACTGTAGTCTGCGTCAGTTCCGCTGTACACAATAACATAGACACACCCCTGCCCTCTAGAGGACAACTCCAGAATAACAACATGACAGGAAGCAAATTGCAATGATTTTTATTCTGTTCAAGTGAAGTGGCACTTACGATAAATGAAACAAAAAAGAAAGAAAAGTTATTACAATGGGACTTCTGGTTTACAAACAGGTGTAACTGGCATAAATATGACAATGGAATGGCTTACCAGGAAACCAAAATGTAAATCACTCAAGGAGAGGTCAATACTGTCCCCAGAACACATTTTTCAAGTAACGTGTTGTAATTTGCTCTAACGTGACCTTTTTTATTGACTCAGTTTGCATAAAGTCAGAAGAAAGAGTTATTTGAGAGCACGGGGTGTCAAACATGCAGCCCGGGGGGACCAGAACCAGGTCCATTTTGGCTCATTTGATGACTTCACAAAGTGTAAGAACTGGGAGAGATCTCAGCTTCACTAGCAAGGAGTGACAACATCTGAAAAGTTAATAGTTTTAAATCTAGACAAGTTAACACTTTCGTCATTGGTAACTGAAATGACAACAGACTCTGTGAATGTGGAAAAGCTGAGGCATACTGTTGAGATTGCACTTTTGTAGGATGCAGAAAATGTAGTTTCTAAATGGACGACCCATTAAACAAGAAAATGTAAATTAACAACAAGTAACGAGGGAGTGGGATAACTGGTGTGGTGTGCTAGGGACAGGGTGAGATAGGGGCCGATGTGGTGACCCTGAATTGGAGCAGCTGGAAGAAGAAGACAAAGACGACACATACATAATCTTACGGGCGTGGCTCACTTAAGATTATTTGTGGCCATTCGTGGGCTGTGAACTGATGTTTGACATCCCGGCTTTAGAGTTTTGCTCACAGTGGACATTTGGCACATGTGTAACAATATCCACACAGCTGCTGCTCCTGCTCCCCAAAGCCTCATCATCAACTTTACTCGCTTTTTGGTACCAGCTTCCCACTTCACCTCAACGTCGAGAAGAGCAGCCATCACAGCAAGGTGCAACATTACACGAAGCAAAACACATGAAGAGCAACGATGGCACGTATGTGGCTTTGGAAATGCAGAATTTCAGCATTTTCTTAGCTTGCTTAAAACACCAAAAATGGTGGTACCAAGAATCAGTCGCACTGTGTGGTGGAAATGAGGCCTTGTAAGGAGCAGGTACGCAGGTGAGGCTTTTAAGCATTGAAGCACCTGAAAGAGCTCAATTTAAACTGCTTTTAAATCTGTGTTTCTCAAATCAAACGGTCATTAAATAAAATGATACGGCACTGGATAAGAGCACAGAACTGAAAACATATAACATGCAAACAACATTTTCATGATGCAGTTTGAATAAACATCTGTTATGTGTTGAATGTGTGAAGAACCCTCATACAATACAATAAATAAATAAGAAAACATTTTTTTAAAATGTCTGCAAACAGAAGCAGTGTGTGGCATTTACACATGAAATGCTACTAAGACTTAAAGCCAATCAAAATCTGGGAAATCTGAATGCAGCTCTGTTTTAAATCAAAACGTTATAGCAGCAAAGACCCCTGCTGTCATTTGGTTTAAGATGTTTTCTGTTGATGAGAATCAATAAAATCTCACAGTAACAGGGGCTTCAGGTCAAGAGCTGACAAGAAATACAGTACAAAGCATTCCCTAGTTGTGTGTTGATTCAATTAGCAGCTGAAGCTTGGCAGAAATGTTTAAAATCTCAAAATTTAAATTGCTTCAATAAAAAAATAACTAACTGGGATATCCTGGCTCTCTTATTGCTGTACAAGAACCATAAAGTCAAAGACACTGAGAAAAAAAAAACAATTTAACAGGAGAGTAACCGAATAAAAAGGAAGCTAAAACCTTTCACCTTTTCACTCGGTCAGTCTTCTTCAAGTATGAGTCGTTGCTGTCCCTTTCAGTGGAAGTCGCCTGAGATAAAAGTGTTTTACAGTACAGACAGCTGCAGCTTCAGCAGCAGAGCAAAGCTGGAATACACTGATTCTTACGAGAGCTTTAAGCTAGGAGAGAAAAACACCAAGCTACACCGCTAACTAGGCCAGACCCATCACCTCCACGCTCGCCTTTATGTATATGTGCAAAGCAAATGATAACATTATTATTGACTGACCCAGCACCAGGAAGTGACCATTTTCATAAACTGCTTATACATCATTATAACTGAGCGTCGCTGGAGCTGGATCTTCCAGTTAACTTAGTGGCTAGGTTTTAAAATCTGTCAATTAGTCATTTTATTTACATTATGTAGGTTATGAAGGTCAGCTTTTCCAGTAAACTGATGCAAATCTAAACATCACCCCTGAAGGCTCACGGGCTGCAGCTTCAGGTTTCCCCTTTTTAAATTATAACTTAATGGTATATCATCTTTTTAGAAGCATCCCGCATCCTGCAGGACAGCTAACGCTTTCAACTTTAGCTCCTGACTTTTTTAATAACCAAACTGACTTTAAAGTATATCATTGTGAATGGGAAGCAGTTTGTAGAGCAACAGCTGACTGTTCAGGAGGACATCAACGGCACCAATCAGCTGTCTTCTTCTTCCAGTGACTAAGTGCTTTTGTAACAACCCTGCACCTCCATGATTGGCCCTCTCTCCTCAGAACTCCATCCCCTCGTCACTTTCACACCAGTCCGACGGAGCATCGGTGCCGAAGTAACGATCTCCGAAATTCCCTGAGAGGAGCAGGTGAAAGAAGACGGGACAGAAAAAGTTGGACTTTTCTTTATTGCGTTCTCTGTAGTGGGTGACATCCGTTGCGAATATGGAAGATTTTAAAGAACATAACTGCCTTTTTTTTTTTACCTTTTTCCTAACTTTATAAGATTATAAGCTACACTGTGTACAGAGAGGCTCATTTATAATCACAGTGGGAAATTTCTAAGATCATTTTTGCACCTTTGCTGCCACTGATTTGGATGTGAGACTGCAGTGTGTATAAAGAACACATTGTAAACCTTCCCAATAACTCCCTTTACCTTGCTATTCAAATATTTATAATCCTGGCTAATAATCTACTTTAAATAAACCTAAAACACACCGCTGACTTTTCTGTGGCTTTCCCAAACTCGCAAACACCCTGCAGCCGCTCTGCTGGTGCTAGATTTTGTCTGCAAACGGTAGAGCTTTCATCCATGCAGCAGTGGTTTTGTACTTTGTGTAATTCACAGATGATTTACCTTTTAATGCCTCTTATTGATTTATAGGTGACCTTTTCTTCTAGCCTCCCACTGTTTGTCAATAAAGGCTAAAAAATACATTTCAAGGCCAGAGTGCAAAAAACAAACTTGGTTGTTCATCTCTTCCAGCTCTGCAAAGTCCATTAATTTCTTCCATTAAGGCCTCTGACACAGTCCTTGTTTCTTATCAGGACACTTTACCCTAGATATGCTGTCAGTAAAGTTTCTTAACACACTGTTTTGTTTTGTTTTTGGCAAAACCAGAAGATTTATGGGGCTAATTATGCTTAAAACTCTATAAATCATGTTAATCGTCTATTAAAAGTACAATGTTTTTCAAACAGATGATACATGAACTTTGATAAAGCCAGAGTGCATGTACTCACCGATGCCTGGTATGATGTGGAACTGGTCGTTGACCTCCTTGTCTACGGCGGTGGTGATGATCCGAACTTTAGGGAAGGCGTAGGCCACCGAATGGACCCCCATCTCAGCCATCAGCAGGGACAACAGGAAGATCTTATCCTCAGCTACATCGTGGTCCTTCATGTGGAGAAATACAGAACTTATTTCTAGGTGATGTCGGTGAAAGAACACATCCAAGTAGAATGAATAATTTCATATATTTACATAATAACTTCAGCTTCATTAACAGCATCACAGGGTAATAAATACTAATGACCTGAGCCTGCACAATGTTTGATAATGGATCAAATAAATCACCTGGAGCACTTTTATTAAACTGATGGTATCTTTTAAAAACAAGCATTTCATTGTTTGCCTACCCTGAAACAGACGCTTCAGCCCTGAAGGGTTGGAGCTGGCCAAACAGCCTAATCCCTGCAGTAATCACACTAAGGTAGCTTAGAGAGAATTTAAAAACATCAGCACTTTTTAGGACACCAGTTTTCATCTTTATTTAACCAGGAAGTGAAAGTCTGTTCGCATAACAATGTCTTTTTGCTCTTGGGTCAAGAAAGGCAATATTAACCTAGCACGTATTTTGAGGTACGAACAACTGAGCCGTGAAGACGTGGGGCCAACCTACCAGCAGAACTCTGACCGCCATGAGCGCAGCAGCTCCAGTGGACACGGTGCTGTCCATGAGGATGACGTAGTCTTCACTGATGTCTTTGGGCAGACGAAGGTAATGAAGCTGGAGGATGGAGAGAAAAAACAGTGAGAAAGCTTATTAAATCTATACAACATAAAAATCTAACTTGTACAATAATTAGCACTGTGGAAAAAATAAATCAAACAAGCAACTTAAATCCTGTTTGGACAACAGAATGAAGAACCCGCTAGATCTGACATGTAAAATTGTGTTTTTAATGTTGCCACACTGATAAAACTTTTATAGTATTGCCTAAAACACACACACACACACACACCTCTGGTTCTCCTGTGTCATGATTGGTCTGAATGAGGATCTTTCCAAGTCTGATGTCTTTACACACAGCCATCAGAGCCTGCTCCATGGTCTCTCCCGCCCTCAGGATAGAAACACCCGTTATCTGGAAAAACAGACATTTTTGTGGGGTTTATTAGAGCGATGCAGCTTATCTGGACCAGAAAACACTAAAAGGTTTAAAATGTATGTGCACTTAAACCTTCGGCTCCTCCAGATCTTTACATATGTGCAAAATTATCATCTTAAGTTAAATGTCCTCTTATTATAGTAACTGTTAATGTCATCTTAAAGGACTTACTCTGTTACCGCACAGCCTCTTCCCCTCATAGATGCTACCCTGTGGCGTTTCCACAGACACTGACTGCAGCGGAGGAGAAAGAGCCAAGAGGAACAAAAGGAAATTAAAGGCTGAAGTAAAACAATCTTAGCAAAATCCCAAAACGTTGAATCTGTTCATCTGGACGTAGCATTTTCAGTGGGAGAAACATTTCGTCACTCAGTCTGAAAACGCGACGTCCAGATGAATGGATTCAACCTAGCTGGATGACTGAGCATGCATCAAGACAAATCTTGGCAAGAGTTGATGCTGCTACTATTAAAAATGTTATTAGTAGACTTCCTGTTCAGAACAGAAACGCCAACCTGCTACGGAGCATAAGCAACAGTAAAAAAAATGTGCTCTACAGCAGCGGTCCCCAACCTTTTTTGTGCCACGGACCGGTTTATGCCCGGCAATATTTTCACGGACCGGCCTTTAAGGTGTCGCGGATAAATACAACAAAATAAAACTAGTACCGGTACTGAAAAAAAAGAAAATTTATTCATAACACACGTGAAAAGACCCAGGAAAACCAAGTAAACGATAAAAATGATAACAAAATAACGCTGAAAACCGATAAAAACCCTGAAAACCATACATTTCACACCTGAGCCTCAACTCTCGCGGCCCGGTACCAAACGACTCACGGACCGGTACCGGTCCGAGGCCCGGGGGTTGGGGACCGCTGCTCTACAGGAGTAAGAGCAGGAGTTCAGTTAAAAATCTTCATGCAAAAACTCACCTTGAGAGGCAGGAAGGAGAGGGCATGCTCTATCAGGAGCCTCATTAATCTCTTGGAGTAGAAGATAAACTCATCTCGGTTAGTTTCCCTGTTCCTACACAAACACAGACGGCAGATGCAAACAGGATGACCCTCTGCTTTTTTATATTTTTTAAAAAGAAACGTTTTTTTATAGCCTAATAAAAAGTCAGCACCATTACACTAGCAAGTTCCTGTTTGATTATAATTTTTAAAGAAATAACTTTTAAATATTTTCTTCTCGTGATCCACATCCCAACTGCAGCGGCTCTATAGCTCACCTGTGCTGACTGCACCACACAAGCACTGGTTTAAATGATCTGCTGCACACTGTTAGGTTTACTAAAAGATATAATGAAACATGATGTTATCGTGTTTATCGTCGTGTTTAACCTGCAAGTTTAAAGTCTGGTAATACTGGGCAAAGAATTGACAGGAAGTGATTTATTTTGAAGTGCAAGGAAATGTCGTCTCCACTTTGTTGCCATCTTCAGTGAATTTATGAAGGCAGCGGGCAGCTTTAGAAAACTGTCACTATAGAAAGGTCCTGTCTCTTATTTTATTTTGAAGTGGTGCCCACAGTAGGCCTGTAAAAACGTGTAAAGTACGAGAGGTGGTTTGGTTGCAAATCTGCAGCTTCACAGCTAGGTGTCTCTAAATCCTACTCACTGGCCAATTTTAACAAGACTTTGCTTGTGAAATGAGCGTATGAAAGAGTTTTCGTTCTGACCTGATTATGGTGTGCATGCCACGGACTTGTGGCGTGCTCTCCATCACGCTGAGGGTTTTGGGTAATGGCTGACCCTGGTGAGCCGAGGCCAGAGCCGATCTGCGGCAAACAAAACACATTCATGCATCCAAAGTAAGAGACGTGTCTACATTCATTCAACTAAATACTTTTACTGGATTTGCAGGTTAACTAATCAGAACCAATCAGTTCATTTTTCATCTCTTTTGTTATTATTCTGAAAGAAAATATTGAAAACAAACTAGTATTGTAGGTTCTGTAACAAAAAGGCTGGGTATTGTACAGCTGCTCAAATATGTACTAATACAAATGTAACCTAAAATCATTTCATTACTTCAGGAATTGATTTAATTTGTACTTATTTGTTTTTGTTTTATATTTAAGTGACATCTAATAATCATCCAGCATAGTGATGTAATCAGTCAGCTGACCGATGAGCCAGAGCTACCCTGATGTAAACAGAAAGGCTTCAATAGATGCACATCAGTTCTCATATCTGCTGTTTAAAAAAGGTTCAAGTGTCATTTTCATTAACTGCCTTGAAATATCAAAAATGTAATCAATGAGCAACTTTTTACACCAATAATCACAAAATCACACGACACAGAACGATGCTCAAAGAGGTTATATTAAGAAGCTGCAAACATCTTAAGTCCTACCACTACAGAGAGTGCACTGCTTACAAACACCAACGACCAAACGCTCTGCAAAGCAGACATTTTAAGGTTAACTGATGAGGGGCCGGTTTCACAAAGATAAGCGGAGTTTCCTTTTTTAAATAAATTAGCCAATCCATCTCACCAGTCTGTGTAGATATTAACTGCTATAATCAGGACTAATGTCAGCGGCACTGCTTCCTACACGAACGATAAACATGTAGAGCGGGCGGCTCTACGGGATTACAGCGTTTGGCCACCCCAGCATAAGCATGAGGCATCTTTGTGTAACTCGCCCCACATTACACGGTTTAACAAGCCTTTTTGATTTTAAAGCAAAAGTCGAGAAAGAAGCTGATTCTGTGTGTCAGCTGCCAGACTTTTAGAAACACAGCATTAAAAGCCTTGCTTTATTTAAATCAGTGTTCCCCCTCAGACACTTCAGGAATCGACAGCATCGCTCTGAGGGGCAAATTCAGAGTGCAAAAGTACATGTCAATAAATGAAGGACTTGATCCTGCCCTGGCTTTTCACCTGATGTAGAGTCTTTAGATTTAGAAACTGTGGACTCTTCAACTCTATTGCTCCATTGTTCGTGGCACTGGAAGCTTTCTTAAATCTAGCAAGGCTTTTGTTCTCAGAACGTTTTGATCATAATGCCAGATAAAAGTTTGCACTTAAATAAATCAATGCGTGCCATGACCTTGAGGCCACAAATAGAAAAACAATAAAAGCAATCATGAAAAAATTAAAAATTTGGCATATGTGGCGCATACCGTTTCAAACACATGCTACTTAGAATACTAAAGAGCAATGAAACTATTCTGCTTCATGCACACTCTGCTGCTGAAATATACAGCATGCTTTGTTTTAATTGTGCACAGCTTAGATTAATGGAACTGTGACATTTGTGGAATCAAACCCAGCAAACGTGTCGGTTTAGCTACAGTCAGAATATGTAGTGCATAGTTTAACAAGTTAAAAAGGCTTGAGTGCATTAAATCTAAGACTACAAATCTGTATCTTTAAAGACTACAACAGTGAAAAAAGGTGCACGAGGTGAGGCTCACATATCCCAGCGCATCTTCCTCTGAAGAAGGTGACAGATATTTGTTTGGTGAGATTAAGTGTTTAAAGGTGAAGGCAGGAGGAAACACAGGGAGGAAAAAACAAAAAAACACACACACACAAAGGGACAAGAGGAGGAAAAAAACAAAACAGAGAAAGGAAGAGAGAGAAGAGTATTAGCAGTGAAACAGCTTCACCACATTGCTGCTGTACAACACCGAAAAAACACATTCCAGCTCTGCACTGAGGAGCACGCTCACTTCAATTTATCTCATGAGTGAGGTTCGCTTAAGGTGACTCAACTTCAGAAACTGGGATTAGTTTCAGTAAAAGCTGTGAGGGCAGCCGGAATTTCTCCACATTCAACAAATCCATCTAAGAGCTGACCTTAGATTTGCTGAACCATTTAACCCACAGAAACTTCAGCTGAAGTAGGCTTGCAAATTCATCTTCGTTCAAGGGTGAACTGAAGCTAAGAACTTCTACTTCTCAGCAGGTTTCATCTCACACATACAGGAGCACATGACCACCTGTGATCACACATAATTTAGGTCTCCACTCCAGCTTTTCTGCAAGTTTACAGCATCCTGTGGACACCAAAAACCGATCTTTCTCCTCTATCCTGCACCATAAAGTCTATTCTGTGCCTCTGGACCAAAACATGTCCCATTTTTTTTTTTTTTAAATGATGTGAACTGGCACAGGCTTCGCCGAGCTGGCTGCATGTTGTTGTGGTTAGGTGTGAACATGACCTGAGGAACTTCAGCAAACTACCGTAGCCAATCTATGTCTGAGAGAACCAAATCAGAATTTGCCTAAGTTCATAACCATGAAAAACAGGTTGTTGGTCCAGAATAGAAGACAGGACATAACGACTTGTCTTCTTCTGACCAATCACATTTGTGCTGGATGTGTTTGCATACAATTCATGTGGAGAGTAGAGACACATTTCTCAGTGATTTTGCTTTTCTCCTTTCTTTCTATTTTAAAATCTAAATATTTAAGCAGCTTAAATAAACAGTTCACAGAACAGGAAGTCTTGGCTGAGATAGATCCTGTTTCAATATTGTTTTATTTTCCAGACAGTATTACATAGTGGATAGCACCTGGCTCTACAAAAACACTCAAATATTGCCTGTTGTCCTGCATTAGCAGACTAGATGATAGCTTTCCAGATTGCTTCAGATCCTATTCACTACCAGGACAAAATGAAGGGAATTTCATTTTCTTTTTCAATTCTGGGATCTCTATGAGACTTTTACCTGAATAAATAAAAGATAACAAGTGTGAATAACTCATTCATTAACTTGTTATCACAATTTCTAAACTTAAACTATGATCAATGGTTTCCAATGACTTACAGGAAACATATACCGTAGTTATATGACAGTACAAGAAATATTACACACAAAATGTGCCACTGGTCATTGCGCTTTAAATGATGTTTAATGACACGTTTTTATTTTAATCCATGACTTGAAAAGTATAGGCTGATTAGGTGTTTTCACAATGAATACATTCAAATATTTCTGCTGAGTAAAACAAATAAAAGATTAAACAGAGACAGAGATGATAAAATCATTACAACCCTCTGACCATTATGAAATGAAATCGGGATAAAACAGAATTAAGTGAAAAGGCAGGTGAAGCACTGACATGTGTATGAGTTTGTAGTAAAAACAAAACAGTTTAGTCTTTGCAAATAAAAGAGTGAGGCATTCTTGAAAATGTAGTGACATAAAAGAGCAGAAAAAAGATGACTCGGAGGATGTGGTAATAAAAAAAAAGCACCAACAATCGTACCTCACAGTGATCTCACGCTGGAATGGTTACACAGCATTCAGCCAGGAGAGGAGGGGTCGTGCACGTACAAGGAGACACACACACACAGACACGTGTGTGCAAACAGCGAGAAACATAAGAAAAAAACAAAAAATGAGACAAGCGGCTTGTCAGAAAAAAAGGATCATTCACAACATAAACCTCTTCCCAAAAGAGAAACAAAAAATTCACAATACACAATAAATGTTTGCCTGTGGAGAGTCGTACATTTGAACAGACAAACACTTCAAGTGTGAACTTTAATTTCATGTTTGGCTGGACAAGAGTTTAACTGTCATATATCAGCTTTTTATGACCACTTCATTTTACTGTAGAAACAACAAGTGAAAACAAGCGAATTATTTCATGAGCTGTCAATTTTATATGACCAAGTGCGAAATAATGTAGTCTAAAACCACAGTCGTGTCAGAAGTACTGATTTAAAAATCTGCAACTTTCTGGATACACAGCACTATGCAAAAGGTCTTGAGCCACCCCGTCCTTTATATATATCAATGATTTAAAACACAAGCAAAGAATAGTGGTAATACAGTTCAGAAGGCAAAGAAGAGTTGGTATTCTTTCCTTGGCCAACAAAGGAAAGCGCATAATGCCAACGTTTGTACTTTCCATATAAATATAACCATGAATGTGTTTTTTAATTTAAAAAAGGCATATTTTAGTAATTTTAGTAAAGGCAAAGAGAAAAATATACATGCTGACCTGTGTGTGCCCGTCTATTTCTCATTATTACATACTGCACACACGCCTGTGAATGTGACAGATGCTGTGGGTGTTCCGGCAGCGACCATGACTGAATGTGCTGAAGGTGGAGCAGATCATTGTTAGCGGTAGATCAAAAAGTGAGTGGATGACAGAACAATGAGGTGAGCTAAGATGAAGGACACGATCTTTCCTTAAAGGGTCATTAATTTAAGGTACCTACTTAAGACCTCTAACCACGAGGTGTAAAAGGAAAAAAAGCATAAAAAGACGTCACAAATCTTCCTCCATCACTTCAAATGGCAAAAGGGAAAAGTGTCCAGGAATTTTACTTTCCTGATTTTTAGTACCCTTAATTACTTTTAGTACTATTTTATCATAAAGGCCACTGTCGCTTAACTTCATCCAAACTACTAAAGCAGAGGAGAAAAATATGACATCAGCTAATGTGCTCTACCATCAGACGGGAAAAATAGCAGCATGTGACATCGTGTTATTGTCCACAGCCCATCCTGTTCACCAGGTTTAAATTCCTGCAACTTCTTCCACTTTTTCAAAAGAAAGTTCAAGTCAAAAGTCTGATGTGTTCGCACTACAGACGCAATCCAGCACAGGACAAATGCACACCTGCAAGTGGTCAAGTGGTGTGTGTCACTACCATGAAGGTGCCAGCGTTCAAATTAAAGTGAAGTGTGTTTTTCATTTTCTTTTTTTATAATAGGTGAAAAAAAGAAAAAAAAAATCAAACTTCACCTTATTGTTTGTCCCAACCTGACATGTCTGATGAATCTTAGATGTTGGGATGTTTTGGTAAATTTGCCTCAGTCTTTTGCAGTCAACGCCCCATAGGCCATGTTCACACTATTCCACACCAGCCAGCACCACACTTACTTTGAAAGGTTAAAAAAAGATTGTGCTGAAGTAATCATAAAGGCATTCCCACCTTAGAGTTTTTAGAAGAATATGTACCTACAGTGAAAGCCGGTCAGCAAAATATAAGAAGCTCTATCTAAACATGTAGGAATAGTTAATGCCAGCTTTAATACATTCCACCTGTCTGCAGAAACTACAGATCATAGTATCCTTTATAAGCCCATGCAATTAAAGCCCTCACATCCTCAAATGACAAAATGATAAAAACATAAACATTCCTTACCTTCTCCAGCTGACTGTGTACGTGCTGAACAATCAAATCCAAAGCTACAAAGTTCTCTCCACCTGCACATAAAAAATAAGCAACGTGTAAAGTGCTGATAGAGAAGAGCGCTCCCGTGCTTTTCTATGGTGAACTAAAAATACTGCCACTGACCTCTGGGAACCACGATGTCAGCAACCTGCACAGTGGGCTCAATGTACTGCTCAAAGGCTGGCTTTACAAATTTGTTGTACTGTTTGATGATGCCGCTGATGTCCCGTCCACGTTGTGATATGTCCCTCTTCAGCCTCCGTATGAGGCGGATGTCTGAATCTGTATCTACGAACACCTTCATGTCCAGAAGCTGGCAGACAAAAGCCAAAAGGAGGAATCACTCATCAACCTGTAACATTTTTATATGCGCGCAGTTTTTTGCTGTGGCTACAATGTAGCTTGCTATCGCCAGTGTGTGAATGTGTGTGTGAATGGGTG